CACGCAAGGAGTACGGGTCAGGTGAAGGGGGGAACCGCCACCAGCTAAGTGATTGAGTGTGATCCCTCTCTCTCTCTCACTGTCTCTGTCTGTGGCTTTTTGTTCACCGTAAGCCCCCCACCCCCTTATGCACGGTCACCTTCACATTCACATTCGCGTGTTGTGACAGCAACAGCAGCGGCAACAAATTGCAGTAAATGAAAAGGTTTCCTCCTCTGGACATTTACGATACCCTTGCAGAGGGTGCTCGCATTTTGTCAGATGTGTTTTCATAGCTAAGCCAAATAGCGTCATAAGCAGATTGTAAGTAGATCCATAATTTATAGGGTATTATAAGAGTCGGCTCATGCAGCATCCTTTCTATGCTTTCTTGTTAATTTTCAGTTTTTTCTTGTTGTTTGTTGAAGACCATTTCCTTTTGCCGGTATCTACGATACTCGATGCTGTTTCGCCAATTGATCGAGTGGACAGGGCAAACAAACCAACGATGTCAGACAGAGAGCCATAGAACGACTGAGTGAAAGGGTATGGAAGGAAAGGGAGCTGGGAAGAGAACTACAGCAAAGATACCAAGAGACAGAGAGACAGAGAGAGGCAGACATCCGTTCACACTGACACATGTGCACGTTCATAATTCCTTTGGCGGAGATTTTTGCTGGCTGCGACTGTTGCTGGATGGGGACGTGCACATTGGCCGTTCGGATTTGATGGGATCGGATCGTGTGCGAGAAGCACTTGGGAGAGGTTATGTGGAACAAGTGCACAGCGAATGCAAAGTGAATGAATGGTGGGTCCGCTCCGTCCGCCCGTTGACCCATGCTTGCAGCGTGCGGCATTCCTTTTGACTGTGAAATATGCCATTTCGTTTTGATTGACAACCAAATCGCATCGCATTTGCCATGACCAATTATTTGGCATTTACTGTTTCCTCATCATCTCTGTCAAATTGGATGTGCCATGACTGTAGCCGCACTAAGAGATGGATAGAGAGAAAGAGAGAGAGAGAGAGAGAGTGGCGTGAGGGCCGTGAGGTAGTAGATCGAGTAAGTGAGTTGAAGCCACGCCATAATTTCTAGTCTCTTAAATGATGCTCTTAAATGGCAAACTCAAAGGTGGACAAGGGATAAAGCGTGGGAGTAAGACAGAGAACTGGTTAAGACAGTCATACACATATTTTCTCCTCCTGATCACATTCTTTTGTTCATTTCGTAGCGCAGAAATGAGAAGAAGAAATTTTACTTTTTTTTAATTGACATAATCACATCTGTGGGACTTTCACTGGGGATCGTTAGAAACTTAGCCGCCCCCCCCCCCCCTCGTCATGCCTTTCTAGGTTTCCATTCAGTTTCCCCTTCACTCTCTATCTGTTCCCGCTCCATCTCGTTCGGTTCGTGGGCTCCTTATGATGCAACTGCCATTCTCTTGGGCGTAATTAGGGTCCAAACAAGACAAGATAAAGGAGAAGGCAGCCAAAGAAGAAGGCACAAATAGGCACACGAGGAGGAGGCAGCGGCTCAAGAGGCGGAAGAAGGCAAAGAAGAAGACGTAGAAGAAGTAAGCGTGCCTAATGATAACCTTTAGTCCAGTGTGGCTGCTTCTTCAACTGGTACTCCTCCTCCTTCTTCTTCTTCTTCTTCTTCTGGGTGTAGTTTTTCGTTTTCCGCAAAACCGCTAAAAGAATGAACGCCCTTCCCTTAGATTCGATTCGATTCCATTTCGTTCCTCCTTTCTCCTCGCCAGCGAGCGTAACTGCAAATTTTCTTGATTGCCGGTTTCCACAGCCCAACCCGAAGTACGCGCCACTGGCCACAGAACAGAACGAGGGGCAGGGCAGCAACGGTGGAACGGTGGAACGGTGCACAGGGGGAGGAAAGACCATTGACCATTGACCAGCTGATGAGAAGAGCAGAGCCCAAGTCCATCGATCTGCTCCTCAGCGCCCCACCCCATAATTAGCAAAGAGAGAACTGAAATGGGAAACAGTTGGCATGGCGTGTGACCTTCAGGGAGCTGGCCCACCCAATAGTTGGTTCCAGCCGCAGCCCCCCTCCAGAGGGTTTCTATAATTGCCGGCACCAAATCCAAGAAACGATCCACTCAAATTCGAAATGGTCCAAGGACGTCCCTGAATTATTGTCGGAGGCCAAAAATAAACCCGGCCCGGGACTATAAATAACGAGACTCGTGCAGCGGCACTCCTCCTCGGGAGAAGTCTGCAGCGCAGCCCCACAATGACGTCAAACGGCCGGATATGTATGTCCAGGGCGTTTGGCCTTATCGAGCCCCACAGATCGCCGCTGATCCCCGCCATAGACTCGTACTCCACCACTCTGTGGATCCATGTAATTGGCTCTGTTTCCCCTTTTGCTCGCTTCAAATGCATTTCCTCCCAGAGGAGGCAACATGCCATAGATTGGAAATTTGAGACTGTAAACATGTGCGAATATTCGGAGAAAGTTGGCAGCACAACGAATTCGGTACTCCCTACGCGGGCAGAGCATCTAGAGATGGTAAATTAGGATTACTATCGGCATGGATTGAGGAGCTTCTTGTGCCATGGATTCGGAAAGGGAATGCGGATGAGGGCAGGACAGGACAGGACAGGACAGCTATCTGCCTTTTTAACTGCCTTTTTGCCACAGCAGAGTGGAGGTGGAGCTGCAAGTGGAGTTGCAACAACAATATTTTAGATCGGCTCCCGTTGAGTGGCCGCTGCCGGCTGGGTTGCAATGTTGCTGGCTAAATTTGTTGCAGTTGCGATTTCTGTTTTGCTGCGGTTCTGTTCTCGTTGCAGTTCACGTCGTGAATCCAGGATGCAGGCAGTGGGCAGTGGGCAGTGGGCAGGGGGAATGCGATTTGTGGCATGCAGCAGACATTCCGCTGTCTTTGCCACCTATTTCATACAGCCGAACAACATTTGTTGTCGCTGTCGCTGTCGCTGTCCCTGTTGCAGTTGCAGTTGTTGTTTCAGTTGCCATTGCTGTTGTCGCTGTCGCTGTCGCTGACTTTGTCGTTGTTGTCGATGTTGCTTGCAGATGTTGCTGCATCGCGCATGCTGTGTTGCAGCTCTGCTGTTGGCCCTGCAATCGGACACGCTGCTGCAACAACATCATTTGGCACTGGCCTTTGTCTCCGCTGCCTCTCTCTCCCCCTCCTCTCCCCCCGCTATCATCTGTGGGGTTATCCTGCTCCGATTGCTAGCTGGCCATTTGCAGCTCATGTTGGGCGACTGACCGTCACTTAACATTGTGGGTAATAGCCACGTTCCAGGCTCTATAATCACAGCAGGAAAAAATGGCTAAGTTGCATGGGCAGGGGCAGGCGCACGGGGCACGGGGCACGGTGCATTTCCTAGAAATAATTGCAGTGCGAGGCAAAAGACTCCAAGTTTCGGTTACTCTTCGTTCTGGACAATTTTTGCAAAACAAATTGAATTGAATATGTAAATATAATTGCTTTGGGGGAACGAGCTAGAGCTAGCTGCACACCCTGCGCTGTATGTACCCTCCCCCCATGCAGCAGCGAAACGTTTAAAAACCCATAAATTTCGTCGTAAATGCCGCTTCAAGAGTGTACACACATACATACACACACACACACACACACACATATATATGGCATTAGCTTCCGCAAGAGTTGTTTCCATTTTGGTATGGTGGCTAGGGCCAGTGCCAGTTGGAGTGCCAGAAATGAATGCAAATGAATGCAGTTAAATAATCCATGACTCGCGCTGAATGTGTGAGTGTGTATGAGTTATCCTGAGTCTCTCTATAATTATCCAAATTGCTGGCTAACCACTGAAAAAGGAAGCGATCCTTCATGCCGCAATCTTTCTTTCTTTTTTCCTTTTTTTTATCACCCAATCGCAATCCCAATCCAAGTCATTCGTTCGCATTTCTCCAGCTTGTGTTGAGTGATTAAATGAATACTGGTTTCGGACTCAAGGATTTCCTGCTTCAACACTTGATTCGTTTTCTCAATGTTTCTCTCTCAGCTCATTGAGCAAATCCCTCACTTGATTTGTGTTCTCCTCTCGCTCTCTGGAATCAATGCAATCGATTTCCCTTTCCACACGTGACCACCCACACACCTGGCACTGGCACTGGCACTGGCACATGTGTGACCACATACCTCCATCCTTACTCCTTTTCGGACAGCGGGGGTCAGCCCGCTGAACCGTCATGCGCACTGGGGTCAATTGGATGAATGGACTTGCCTGGGATGGCTATCCACAGAAAGCAATTTGCTACCCGTTCGAATGGAAACCACAAGAATGCCAAAAAGTTGTTTGCGCTGCCGGAGATTGCAATTGGAATTGGAAGGAGGGGGGCGGCAGGCAGAAGGTGAATTGGGAACGAAACGGTGCGGGACGGAACGGAACGGAACGAGGAGCGAGCTGCGGGATGGCAATCGGTGAGGAGCCATTAGAATTTTTAACCGCAGATCGTCAACAAAAGTTCTTCTCTCTCCATGCCACCAGGAGGCAGCGAGGCAGCGAGGCAGCAGCCAGAGCGAGCTCATTAAAGTCTCACCAGTTGCATTCACTCAGCCAGTCAGCCCGTCAGTCAGTCATCCAGTCGGCCAGTCGGCCAGTCAGCCAGTCAGCGATTGCCTGTCGATGTGTTGGGGATGTGGGAAGATGTCTTTTGGGAGCCAACGAACCCAGCTGACCACGGTTAGTCGCCGTCTTCTAAGCCTCTGTGGCGTAGTCTCTGGTCATGCCACAGTTCGCTTTTATTGGTTCGCTGGTTCGGCGTTTATTTAAGCGTGTAATGGGCCAAGCCGCCAGCGGAAGTAGCAGCTTGTACAGCAGCAGCTGGATGGTACTGTCTTCCTCTGGCTTTGGAGGCTGTCAGCAGTCGCGCTTAGAGAGCGTAACGACAGGGCAGTGGCAACGATGGGGGAGAAGTCTGGCTGGGAACTGGGAACTAGCTGCAGAGTGCAGACTGCAGACTCCAAAAACTAAACCAAAATACTTCCCACTTCCTTGGCTCTTGCAGATGACAGGATCGACTAGCAGTAGCAGGAGTGCCGCTCGCAGCACACACACAATGTCCATGGGTCTGATGATGGTCTCGGCCATGGCCGTGCTTTTGGTGGCGCTGCCGGGCAGTGCCGTGGAGGCTCGCATGGCCTTTGAGAAGCTGACAGACTTTGACTTTCCGGGCAACACGTACTACAGCGTGAAGAATCTGTCGCTGTACGAGTGCCAGGGCTGGTGCCGCGAGGAGGCCGACTGCCAGGCGGCTGCCTTTAGCTTTGTCGTCAATCCGCTGTCCCCGTCGCAGGAGACGCACTGCCAGCTGCAGAACGACTCGTCGGCGGCCAATCCATCGGCGGCGCCCCAACGCTCCGCCAACATGTACTACATGGTGAAGCTGCAGCTGCGCAGCGAGAATGTCTGCCACAGGCCATGGTCGTTCGAGCGGGTGCCCAACAAGGTGATCCGCGGGCTGGACAATGCCCTCATCTACACCAGCACCAAGGAGGCCTGCCTGTCCGCCTGCCTCAACGAGAAGCGCTTCGTGTGCCGCTCCGTGGAGTACGACTACAACAACATGAAGTGCGTGCTGAGCGACTCGGATCGTCGCAGCTCCGGGCAGTTTGTGCAGCTGGTGGATGCCCAGGGCACCGACTACTTTGAGAATCTCTGCCTGAAGCCGGCGCAGGCCTGCAAGAACACCCGCTCCTTCGCCAATGCCCAGCGCATGGGCGTCTCCGAGGAGAAGGTTGCCCAGTATGTCGGCCTCCACTACTACACGGACAAGGAGCTGCAGGTGACATCCGAGTCGGCCTGCCGATTGGCCTGCGAGATCGAGTCCGAGTTCCTGTGCCGCTCCTTCCTCTACCTGGGACAGCCCCAGGGCGCTCAGTACAACTGCCGGCTGTACCATCTCGACCACAAGACCCTGCCCGACGGACCCTCCACCTACCTCAACCACGAGCGCCCACTCATCGACCACGGCGAGCCCATTGGCCAGTACTTTGAGAACCAGTGCGAGAAGTCCGCCGCCGGCCCCGGCTCACCGCCGGGCACCCTTGACAAGATCGACACGCTGCCCGTCAGCCTGGACACCATCGAGGATCCCAATCTGACCAATCTCACCCGCAACGATGTCAACTGCGACAAGACTGGCACTTGCTACGATGGTGAGTGATCTTTGCCCAAGAAGAAGACCACACCAGAAGATTCTCAACTGATTTCGCTCCCCTTTAGTTTCTGTACACTGCAAGGACACTCGGATCGCCGTGCAGGTGCGCACCAATAAGCCATTCAATGGACGCATCTACGCTTTGGGTCGCTCCGAGACGTGCAACATCGATGTGATCAACTCGGACGCCTTCCGCCTCGATCTGACCATGATCGGACAGGACTGCAACACTCAGAGCGTGGTAAGTGAATGATCAATCAATGATCACTGATCACAGCTGATCACATGATCAGCTCTAAGAAAAACCTTGTATATGCTTAACCCATCTCCTTCTCCAGACTGGCGTCTACTCGAACACTGTGGTGCTGCAGCATCATAGCGTGGTGATGACCAAGGCGGATAAGATCTACAAGGTGAAGTGCACATATGACATGAGCTCGAAGAACATTACGTTCGGCATGATGCCCATCCGTGATCCGGACATGATTCACATCAACTCGTCGCCGGAGGCGCCACCACCAAGGATTCGCATTTTGGATACGCGCCAGCGCGAGGTGGAGACGGTGCGCATTGGCGATCGCCTCAACTTCCGCATCGAGATACCCGAAGACAGTGAGTAGATGGACACACCACACCACCCCCCTAGGGATATGAATTCTAATAAATCTTCTTCGTCCTGCAGCTCCTTACGGCATCTTTGCACGCTCGTGTGTGGCCATGGCCAAGGATGCGCGCACCAGCTTCAAGATCATTGATGACGATGGCTGCCCCACGGATCCGACCATCTTCCCGGGCTTCACCGCCGACGGCAATGCCCTGCAATCGACCTACGAAGCTTTCCGCTTCACCGAGAGCTACGGCGTCATCTTCCAGTGCAATGTCAAGTACTGCCTCGGCCCCTGTGAGCCGGCTGTCTGTGAATGGAACATGGAGTCATTCGAGTCGCTAGGCAGAAGGCGTCGTCGCTCGATCGATAGGTGAGTGCATAACCATCTGAAAGCGTGACCAATCTCTGACTTTGCCCCTCTCCTTTCTCAGCAATGACTCGAAGAACACCACCATGAACATCTCGCAGGAGATTCTGGTCCTGGACTTTGGCGATGAGAAGCGCGAATTCTTCAAGGCAGATCCCAGCACAGACTTTGCCAAAGGTAAGTCTTCGGCCTTAACCTCAAACCCTAAACAGACAAAAAGCTAACCTCAATCCGTTTCGTTTTGTGCCACACACAGACAAGACTGTGACCATCATCGAACCCTGCCCCACGAAGACGTCGGTGCTGGCGCTGGCTGTGACCTGTGCGCTGATGATTCTCCTGTACATCTCCACCCTGTTCTGCTACTACATGAAGAAGTGGATGCAGCCCCACAAGATCGTAGCATAAGTCCGACAGAGAGAGAAAAAGAGAGTGTGCGAAGGAAAGGAAGGGAAAACTACAACTAAAACTAAAACAAGTGCAGAAAAAGTTTCTAAAGAAAACGAAAATGAAAGAAAGATAAGCAAGAAAGAAAACAAAAAGAAAATACACACTAAAAATTGTCACTCACACAACACGCATCCACGCAACACACACATACGCATGTAACTGTGCAAGTCTAGCTATCGCTTTGTCTCTCTCTTGCCCAAGCTGTCTCTGCCCGCTCTTTCGCTGAAAAGTGGAGCTTAAGAGCAGAATACCAGAGTGCACCACAAGACACCACACACTCGCACGCAAGCGCACACACAGACAGCACACATCAATTCACCCACACCATGCTCACCGCTCACCACTCACAACACGCCCAATGACAACCGTATAATTTTTTGTTTTTTTTTTTAATTGATTTACACATTAATATATGTATGTACTTAAAATACAATTTATTTATTTATATTTATTTAGACTTAGGGCGTGAGATGTTTGCCTATAGAAAAAAAACTTTTCATTACACACAAAACTAAGAAAGAAAGAATGAAACGAAGAAAGCGAGCACGAAGCTTAAGAAGATGAAGAAGACGTAGAAGGAGAATGAGGAGCTTTGCACATTTCAAATATGCGAATAGTATGAAAATAAAACTAACAGAAAAAAAAAACATTAAGAAAAATGTACTGCAAGCACGTACTTTCTATAAAGTTACAAAAGAGGGAACCCCATAACGAGTGCGAGAGAGAGAGAGAGAGGTAGAGAGTGGAGCGATGGGATAAATGACTTTTTTGTAACTTCTATAGAGACTGCGGCCGCAGAAGCGCACACTCGCACTCACTCACACACACACACACACACACACATTTACATATTTCACTCCCACACACACTCACTCCTTTACACCACCCCACACACACACACACACGCACTCACATTTATTTAATTTTAAAAGAAACGCAATAAACATGCAAACAAAAGCAATCAAGAAAACGAAACTAAGGACGCGCCGGTCAAAGCAAAACAAAAACAAAATAAGAACAATAACAAGAAACGTAATTTCATAGAAACAAAGTGAAATTGTGCTTAATTGTATTGCATTTATTTAATTTAAATCTATTTATGATAATAAAGAACGATAATGACAAATCCCCAGTGTTTACCTCCCACCCCACCCCACCCCGTTGCCATGAGATGGCAGATCAGCAAATACCTAAATAATCAAATTTGTTTCCCCATTGAAAAATAAGAAAATGCTTTATTTTATTGTAGGAGCGCTTAGAGTTTATTTAATGTACGAATTTGAACGTTTAAATCTAGAATTTAAAATCTTAAGGAATGATATTGTTGATCGTGGCAGATCACAGGAAGGTCGACAGCGGCAGAGTTAGTGGCTGGAGCAGACGAGTTGGCAGAAGAAATGTCATCCATCATTCGACCTTGATCTTGATCAAAATTCGCCGAAAAAACAGAAAATATATAAATTATCTTGCAAAGATCCATCTTTTCGCGTCGAAACGTCCAATATGATGCTTTCGTAAATGTTTTTTTTTCCATGCATATGGCCCGCCTAAGAGAATAATCACCAGTTTCATTATAAAAGGTTCCTTATTCATTCATTTTTATTATCATGATTTTACCGGCTTTGCAAAGATTTAAAGTCTACGGTTAGGGGACGGACAGTACATAAGCATATTAAGTGGGTTTGTACGTCAATAATATTAGGATATTGGATGCTCCGAAATCCACTATGGAATGGATAGTGCTTGGATAGGCTGCCTCTCCAATTCACTCACCAGAGATGTTGAGAGACTGATTCGCTGGCTGCTGAGCTAGAATTTGCGCTCAGAAGAATCCTAACTAAACTAATAGACGTGGAGGTACGTGGATGATATTGCGATCCTTAACTTAAGTTAAAAACTACATCGAGTGTTGCGTGAGGATATCCCGGACACCAGGGACACCATTCGATACAATTGAAATTGGATACAATTGGTCAGCGCAACCAGCAGTCGCCAGTGCATCGGACGGAGGTCATCTCAGCTTGAGAGGCTTCACTTGGGGTAGGCCGTGTTCGGGGACGTGAACCTTGGCCGCCGCCACGCAGGTATCCTTGAGGGACTTGCCCACCGGTCTCTTGGTGCACTCGTCGAAGTAGCACTTCTCCACGTGATGCAGGAACTCGACGAGCAGCTTAGCTTGACCCCCGTTGGGCCCCACGGAGTACTCGCACTCGAAGCTGTGCTGCTTGAGGTCACGCACACAGCAGTCGAGAAACTCCGAATTGGCCGAGTACCAGTCGTTGTGGCGCTCGAGTGGAATGCCCAAACGGGCACGCAGCACCCCCGTCACCCACGTATCGTCGATCCAGAAAATGGGCACCCGATCCGCTTCCTCCACGAGTCGGCTGGCAGTTGCCACGTTGGTGATGTACAGCCAGCCGGAGAGGTAGTCCGGGTAGAGGGGCTGTTGGTACTCCTGCTGCGTCACGTACCACTTGTTGGCCTGCAGGCGGATGGGCGGCTTTGCGTCCAGCACATAGCCGGCCAGCAGCGTGCTCGAGGTGGCCAGCATGGGCTGCCCTACCTCCAGAGACTCCAGGTAGCGACGCAAGTGAAAGACATCGTAGATAATGTCATCGTCCAGCTTGATGATAAACTTGGTGCGTCCCTTGCACTCGCCAGCAGCCCAGCGCAGCCCCATCACATGCTTGTAGCTCAGATTGCGGTAGTCTTCAATGAAGTTCCCCTGCAGCAGGTCCCCAAAGCGGGCCTGCTCGTTGATCACCTGCGCCTGAGTGAGGAAGCGCTCTCTGGGCGGCAGGGCTGCCAGCAGGAACACCCGCTGCAACCCCATCTCGGCCAGCTTGCTCTGTGTTATGGCCTGGCGGTGGGCGGCGCGCAGCGAGTCGTGGCCCGCATACGAGGTGACAATGAGCACAGCTATAGACGAGAATAGACACGAGATGACACAATCTGAGACGACGCCGAGAGGCTGCAACACTCACCCAGAAGCTCCTTGTCCGCGAGGCGACACACATCGCTTGCCAGCAGATAGTCAAAGTCGGTTAGGTTTAACAGAGGTCCGGCCGGAGGACGCAGCCTGGGCGCCGTTGTTGTTTCGTCGGGCAGCTGGAGCAGGAACTCATCTCTGTCGGGGGGCACGGAGGATGAGGCGGAGTCGCGCAGGTGATTTGAAATGTAGCTAATGCACAGCAGAACGATGATGAGCAGCGACAAAACAATTGGAAGCAATCTGCGGCCGCGCATGCGCATCTTCTGACATTCTCTTGTTTTTCCCCGTACCTTGTGTTTGTGATTTTGTTTGTGTGTGGGCGTGGGTGTTTGTGCTGTTTATTGGTTCGCGTATGGTCAAGTGTGCGATTGTGGCATGTGGATGTAAAGTGAATTTATATCAACGAAAACAGCCAATAATAATTGTTTTCTGGGTTTTTATAATTGGGCTGCGACGAAACTGTGACAAAACGCAATGAAATTCACTAACGCCTCACAGACATCCTACCATCAGCACTCGCAGAAAATACCAGTTTTGGTATCCGCCATCGATATATCGATAGCTGTGCACGTTGGATACGTCTTCAGCCACCGAAGAGCGGGATGGGATGGCCGCACCTTGTATTGTTGTAGCTTGGCGGAGCCATTTAAGTTTCTTACCGTTGGCGACATTCAAATTTGTGATGTTTTGAAAAGTGAGTAGCTATTTCCCAACATTCTTCTGCCCTCGGGGAAAATGGTTCTAGAGAATTAAGAAAATGTTTGAAATCTCAGGCTCTACACAATGCGAAAGGTTTCGGGATCTTCAAATATTTTCCAAAACATAAGATTAAGGACATGTAATTCTAAGACAAAGTCACTAGTTATATTAAAAGCAGCTTGGAAAACTTAATTTTAACAAAATTTAACGGAAAAAGAGTATACAAAGAACAAGCAACAAGTAGTCAAAAGCCGTAACATTCATTCCCACTTACTTATTATGCTTTTTTTCTCATTGACTCTTTTCGTTTGAATCTTATTTTGCAAGCAATCAAATAAAAGGAATTCCCAAAAACTAGCCAATCTTCTGGAGAATTCATTGATGATCCGAATAAAATTATAGTTTTAGTGCCGAGAGTCCTAACTTGCTGATAACATTAAATAGAATTTCAAAATCGAGGAAATCCATTAAGGATTCAGTTTATTTACGGTATGTTTTGGAAATGAGAAGGTATATTTCGTTATATTTTGAGGGTCACATGGTATATTCTATCGATAAGTCCGCGGTCACACTTGTGAGTGGTGGGAGTGTTTGTTCGTGTGCGTGCGTGCGTCTCTCTGTCGGTGGGAGTGTGTTCGTTCGTGTGAGTGCGTGCTTGCGTGTGTGTGTGTGTTTGAGTGAGTGCTTTTCTTTATAATTTTTTAATAATTATTTTAATTGTGCTTCAATGTGGCAGACAAATTATCGAAATAGCTGAAATCGAAAGCGAGACAAGTGGCCATTGATGGGTTAATAGTGTGAGTTTCGCGAATTGATTGTCTCAGTCGCCGTCGCCGTCACTGTCGATATGTGGTAGTAAAATCCAAGCAGAGAAAATCTGCATCACTAAGGAACGGAAGCAAGACCGCTAGGTGGTAGAGCATGTTGTTGTTGTTCGAGAGCATTGAACAATTTCAGCAGAAAATTATAAATCAAAGTCATATTCATGTTGTAACTGAGCTCCAACAGAGCAGTACTCTGTTGAAATAGCAGCAGTAGTGTCAAACCAGCAGCAGCACCAGCACAAGCAGCAGCAGCAGCAGCACCAGCACACAAGAGAAGAGAAAAAAATCAACGTGAGCTAATCAGCATAGCGATTTCTACACAAAACAGTCTTTCTCCCAAAGTGTTGGAAAAACTAAAAGATTTTCAATAAATATAATTCGAAGGCTGAACCTTAATTTATGTAGTGAACGATTAAAACACGTCGCGTGCTTTCCCCCCTACACCACCCATCATGTCCCTCGCGCTTTAAAAGCTAACTGTGGCATTTGTCCACCAAAACGCAGTCACCGCCAACGTCTGCGCTCGCCTCGCCTCGCTCTCGGTCTACGTCCGCGTCTCTGCCTCGGTTGACGTTGTTTATTTGTTGTTGGTTTTTCACTCCATTGTGGTGGCGGGTGGATAAAAAGAAGGAGGGCAAGTCCCACCGACTATAATTTTATTTTCAGTGCAATTTGTATTGCGTTTTGTTCGGAATGTGCTCCCGTATGTGATGAAAATTAAACACTAAAAAAATCTTGGTAAGCTCTTGAGGCGATGGCAAAGTAGATAAATTCGACAGCTCTGCTCGCGTCACGTTGCGTCGCGTCGCGCTGCTCTGCTCGGTTCGGCTTCGCGTTCGGTTCACCTCGGAGCAAAAGCAAAAGCATTGGCAGAGGCAGCGCCATCGCCAGCGCCAGAGCCAAAGGCAATCTTATCGCTGGAGAAGCCTGCCAGGCCACACCAGCACACCCCCAAGTAGCATATTGATGTGGATGTCGATTCGACGATGTTAATACTATGGTGATGGTGATGATGATGGCTTCTCTTCGCCTGGTAGCCTGGTAGGCTACCATTCGCAGGGAGGCTATGCGAAGTGGCGCTGCCCGTGTCGCTGCTGCTGCCGAAGGCTGAGTGGTGAAAATTAATATTGATTCCGATTTCATATTTTGCAACAGCAAAAATAGCCGCACCATTTGTATTCAAAAGCGGAGAACATAAATTTACTGAAAAATAATCAAAGTGAAGAACGAATAGGGAGAAGGAACGTAAAATTCAACGACGGGGGGCAAAATCTTCAAAGAGGGGGGACACGGAAGAGGTGGAGTCTGCTCCACATTTGCCCTTGAAGATGACGGACTTTGTGGAGCTGCTCAACAGCATGTCCAGTACTTTTAACAGCGACTGCGCCACCAGCACCGCAGAGGGGGGCACGCTGCTCAATCTGGACCTTGCCGAAGACAAGACGCTAAAGTGGCGCAATCTGGCCAACAATCAGTTTGCCTGCAAGGACAAGGAGAAGAAGCAGAGCCGCGCCTGCGAGGAGGTGCAAGCGGAGGCGGGGAAGGCAGAGGCGGACGCGGAAGCGGAGGAGCAAGCCAAGCAGAAGAGTAACCCAGAGGAGGAGACACTGTCCAAGGAGAAGAAAGGAGCAGCGGAACTGGTTCCGACAGAGGATATTGAGGAAAACATCAAGGAACTGCTGGCGGATGTGGTTGATGCCGCGGCCGTGAAGCTGGAGGAGGAAGAAGCTGCAGCGGCGGAGGCTGCAGCAGCGGCAACACCTGAAGACCGCCTGCAGAATGAATCAAAAGTGTCAGCAGTGCAGGATGAGCCAGCTAAAGAAGAGGAGGAAGAGACAGCAACAGAAGGACAGAAGGAGTCAGAAAGCGAAACAGCGGCAGAGCCACAAGCAGAGGCAGAGACAGAAGCTGCAGCAGAAGCAGCAGCAGGTAAACCTGAAGAAGAGGAGAAACAGATACCCAACACAGCTCCCGCCAAAGCAGCTTCGTCAGCCGAGTGCGACGACGTCGGCGACGAGCGCAATGCCGAAGTGAAATGTATCAACGACGAACGCATTGCCGAAGAGAAGTGCATCGGGAATGCAAACGCTGGTGGAGAGGCGGCAGCTGCAGGGCAGGCACCGCCCGCCAATGGCAGCGATGACAACGCTGCAGCCACAACAGAAGAGGCAACAAGCAGTGGGGTGGCCGACGTCAGCCCAATTACGGTAAAAGTGGAAAGGGAGCCTGGTAGCACGGGGAAGATGGATACGGAAGGCATCAAGACTGAGGTGGCAAAGGAGAGGGATCTACTTATGCCAGAGCGGCGGGCAAAAGCGGTACCAAAGCAGAAGGAACTCGAAGAATCATCAGGAGCAGCAGCGACAGCCGAAGCTGCAGCAGAATCCCCATCACAAACAGCAGCTTCGGTTACAGATACAGTCACAGCATCATCTCCGATTCAGACTCCGGTTCCGGCTCCACTTGTTGTCAATTCTGCCAGCATTAGCGTTGACGTCGACTGCTGCGCTGACGCAACAGATTCGAATTTGATGAATGCTGCCACTGCTGGCAGCAACAGCAGCAGCGACCAGGCGGCAGAAGCAACAGCAGAACCACCAGCAGCAGCAACGAGTGCTGATAAAAATGTACGTATCCGTGTATGTGTGTACGTGTGCGTTTATGTGTGTGCTGTGTGGTGTGTTCCTCAAACCTGAGCCTCAGACTGGTGCGCTCTCCGTTCCATTTATTTGATTCACTTTCCGTTTTACGGTGATTTCATCGATGGGATTTGCCATCGTGGTGGGTAGCCATCAAGCTGCTGCCATCAGGTGCAACAGGAAGTGCGAGAGAGCTGGGTGTGGGGGCTAACCGTTATTCCAAAACTTAGGAGTAGTAAATGATGAGGGGGGTGCAACTGTGTGTGTGTTTGTCTGTCTGTGTATCTGATTGGATTGTTGCGTTATCAGGGGAGCTCCAACAACTGTCCGATGCAAGCAAAAATGAAAGCATTACCACAACGGGTCAGCGAGCTTAAAGCTCTTCGATCGCAGCACAGCAAAGTGATGATGGAAAAAGTGTATGTAAATTACGGGATCAGCACAGCAATAAGGCAGCTAAGATATGTATGTAGGCATGTGGTACGTATGTATGTATTAGTGTATGTATTCGCATAGGAACTGATTGATTTGGCTTCAATCTGAAGAGATTTCGATGTCCACAGATTAACACAGAATCTAAAATGCTTTAAAGTAGTATTATCCATACTTCTGTACATACATATGTACATACCTATGCATTCCCTGACCCTTACTTGTCTGTTTGGCTCTGGAGTCGTTACCGTGGTAACCATAAAGGTGCAACCATTCCCCCTCCCTAGACTCCTAGACTCCTAGTTAAGTACGTGCTCCAAATGAATTGGGATTAAAAGAGTCATTTTTCTTATCCACATCCCTTTTTGCAGGAACAAATTTCACCTGGCAGTGCGCGGCGCTCGCGTCGTACACCTCGACCCACGGATAGCCACATCCCCAGCAGTGCCAGTGCCACTGCCACTGCTGCAACCCCTGCAATCCCTGACGAGCCACAGGCTGAGCCAGTGGCGGAGACAGATGCTGCGCCGAATGTCCAGGAGCTCAGCTCAACTCTGGAGGAGAGCAGCGAGGTGAGCAATGTGAAGAAGGAGCCAGAGAAGCCTCCACAAATGGAGGATGCCACCTCCAGTAGCGGCGTGACCAGTACCAGATCCCCGCCAGCACCCAAGCGGGGACGAGGTCGTGCAAAGAAAATCAAAACAGATGCCGAGTCGGATGCTGCTCCAGCTGCAGTCAGCGAGACGCCGCCACTCATGGAGGAGCCAGTCGTCGAGCGGAAGCCGCCTGGCCGCAAGCGAAGGCTGCCCGAGGAGCAGCAGGATCAGCCGCTGGCCGAGCTAGTGGCAGTGAAGACGGAGCAGGAGGAGGCAGGGGAAACGGCTGCTCCAAGCGGTGATGCCAAGCGGATGCGACGCAGTGTCCGCCTGGGCAATCGCCATCCCGCGGACGGTCCCGCCTGGGACGAGGTCAAGACAGAGGCTCTGCCCGCGACGTCCGAACTGCTGCTGCCAGAGCTGGTTGGCATTGCGGGTGGCGCCGCCGCCGCAGCTGCCGCTGTGCTGGACGAGAAGACGCCGCCGAAAAAGCGCGGACGGAAGGCCAAGATACCGCCGGTAGCCAAGACGGAACCCCACACCTCAGCATCGGCATTGGCATCGGGAAGCGGCAACTCCAGCACGTCTCTGCCCCTGATAAATGGGAACAAACGGACCGTGCAGACGGCCCATGGGGGAGGCATGGGAATGGCTTCTAGCGATGTTCAGCTGCCGAAGCGCTCCAAGCGACGGATCAAGCCCACGCCGAAAATCCTCGAAAATGATGAGCTGCGCTGTGAGTTCGAGACGAAGCACATCGAGCGCATGACCCACTGGGAGACAGCAGCTGAGGGTGACTCCCATTTCGAGACGCCGCAGCCGTCTGGTAGCGGAGGAGGAGGCGGTGGCGGCGGATCCAATTCCTCCACGTCGCGTCAGAAGAGCGACAAGTCGGATGGCAGCGGATTCGATGGGGGACAGCATCCGGCCGGGACGAGTGCCATCAAGAAGCGTCTCTTCTCCAAGTCCCTGCGCGACATTGAGAACTCAGGAGCGGCCCTGCTGGCCAAGAGCCGCGTGAAGCCCAGCCCGGATGTCGATCAGTTCCTCTGCGACATCAAGGCAGCCCGACTGACCGCTAACCGCTCCCCGGAGGAGCGCAAACTGAACAAGAAGCAGCAGCGAAAGCTGGCCAAGCAGAAGGAGAAGCATCTGAAGCATCTCGGCCTGAAGCGCAACAACAGCGAGGAGGCCTCCGACAACGATAGCTCCAACACGGACAACGAGTTTGTGCCCACCACCCGTGTGCAGGTGGGCAAGCCAAGTGTCACTTTGCGTCTCCGCAATGCCGCCGCCAAGGAGCAACAGCCCACGACCTCAGCAGCAGCCGCTGCAGCAGCGGCAGCGATGGCTCCTTCATTGAAATCACAGCATCCACCCCAGGCCACAGCGAAGTTGACACGCCGCGTGGCCGTTCGTGGAGGAGCTGCAGCTGGAGTTGGAGCGGGACAGTCACAGGCAGCAGGAAGATCGGCAGCGCTGGATGCTGAACAGCTTCACTCATTAAACAGATCCATTCTGGCAGATGTGCCGGCCGGATCCTTGGACGATGCTGGTGCTGATGGCATTCCCACAACCTCCAAGCTGGCACTGACCAAGTGCCTCTGTCTGTGCCAGAAGAGCTCTCAGTACTATGCGCGAAATGCACCGGACTCCTCCTACTGCTGTGCCATTGACAATGTGGACGAGCAGAAGATCGGTTGCTGCAACGAGCTGCCTGCCGAGGTGCACAACTTGCTACGTCCCAGCCAGCGGGTGGGCTACATGATCCTCTGCGATGAGCACAAGAAGCGCCTTCATGCCCACAACTGCTGCGCCGGCTGCGGCATCTTCTGCACGCAGGTGAGAGGCAAAAATCCATGCGCCTAATCCCATTCCTTTTGCTAATCGAATTCACATTAACATTTCAGGGAAAGTTTGTGCTGTGCAAGCAGCAGCATTTCTTTCATCCGGACTGCGCTCAGCGCTTCATCCTCAACAGTCCCTACGATGACCAACAGCGGCAGCAGCAGCAGCCGGGCGGATCGAGATCAGGGTCTGTCGGCAGCAAGTTCAGCAGCCCCATGTTGGTGTTGAAGTGCCCGCACTGCGGGTTGGACACTCCCGAGCGCACCTCCACGGTGACCATGAAGTGCCAGACTCTGCCCGTCTTTCTGGCCACCCAAAAGTACAAGATGTGAGTGGATCAGGTCCGAGTGGAGGCAGTCCAGGGTTAATCTTTAACCTTTCTTGCAGCAAACCGGCCAAGCTGACAACCTCCTCGCATTTGGCGCAGTTTGCTGGACCCGGCAAGGTGCCCAATGCCAGCGCCAAGCCCAAGGGCAGGGCATCAGCATCCTCCACCTCTGGATCCAAAGCGAACGGAACGCCGCGCGGCGCAAAGGCAGCCAGCTCGGGGAGCCAAAGTCAAACCATCAATTTCGAGCAGCTAATACCCGACTCGGTGATGAATGTGGTGCTGCGTGGACACGTTGTATCGGCTAGCGGTCGCGTGACCACAGAGTTCACCTCCCGCGACATGTACTATGCGGTGCAGAACGATGATCTGGAGCGTGTGGCCGAGATTCTAGGTGAGTTTCACACTGTCCACTGTGCCTCTGGCTGCGAGTAAACATCTTCCTTCTCGTACAGCTGCGGACTTTAATGTGCTAACACCGATACGGGAGTTCTTGAATGGCACCTGCCTGCATCTGGTGGCCCACTCGGGCACCCTACAGATGGCCTATCTGCTGCTCTGCAAGGGTGCCAGCTCCCAGGACTTTGTCAACATTGTCGACAGCGAACTGCGAACGGCCCTGATGTGTGCGGTGATGAACGAGAAGTGCGACATGCTCAATCTCTTCCTGCAATGCGGTGCCGATGTTGCCATCAAGGTAATGCTTTTGCCTCTGCCTCTTGCCTTTAATTGAAATCTCTGCTTTGGCAGGGGCCCGATGGCAAGACGAGTCTACATATTGCTGCCAAGCTGGGCAGCGTGGAGGCCACGCAGCTGATCGTGGACAGCTACAAGGCCTCACGGAACATTACCAACTTTCTGAGCTTCATCGATGCACAGGACGAGGGCGGCTGGACGGCCATGGTCTGGGCCGCTGAGCTCGGACACACGGACATTGTGAGGTAAGTGGCAGTCAGGCAGTTGTCCCCTCGTCATAATTGAATGCATAATAATCCCCACAGTTTGCTGCTGAACCAAGGAGCTGATCCGAATATCTGCGACAACGACAACAACACGGTGCTGCATTGGTCAACGCTGCACAATAATGGCCTGGACACGATCACGGTGCTGCTGCAGGCAGGTGCCGACTGCAATGTTCAGAATGTGGAGGGCGATACACCGCTGTAAGTCTCATCCCCAACCCACTCCCCCAGCAGGTGGAAGAGATTAACGAAACGAACCAATACCCTCATAGCCATATTGCCTGTCGTCATTCGGTGACCCGAATGTGCATAGCTCTCATCGCCAATGGAGCTGACTTGATGGTGAAGAACAAGGCCGAACAGCTGCCCTTCGATTGCATACCCAACGAGGAGTCTGAGTGCGGCCGCACCGTTGGCTTCAACATGCAAATGCGCAGCTTTCGACCCTTGGGCCTGCGCACCCTGGTCGTGTGTGCGGATGCCTCGAACGGACGGGAGGCGCGGCCCATTCAGGCGGTGCGCAATGAGCTGACAATGTCGGAGAACGAGGATGAGGCGGACACGCTGATGTGGCCCGACTTTCGGTACATCACCAACTGCATCATTCAGCAGAATTCTGTGCAGATCGATCGTCGCGTCTCCCAGATGCGCATCTGCTCCTGCCTGGACAGCTGCAGCAGCGATCAGTGCCAGTGCAATGGCGCCTCCTCGCAGAACTGGTACACGGCCGAGAGTCGCCTCACCTCCGACTTCAACTACGACGACCCGGCGGTGATCTTTGAGTGCAATGATGTCTGCGGCTGCAATCAGGTGAGCTCTGTCGCCGCTCTCTAAACTCTCTCGAGCCTGTCCTCATTATGCATTCTCTTTGCCTTTAGTTGTCGTGCAAGAATCGCGTGGTACAGAACGGCACGAGAACGCCGCTGCAGATCGTCGAGTGTGAGGATCCGGCCAAAGGCTGGGGCGTGCGTGCACTGGCCAATGTCCCTAAAGGTACCTTTGTGGCATGCTACACGGGGGAGATACTGACCGCCCCAGAGGCAGATCGCCGCACCGACGACAGCTACTACTTCGACCTGGGGCATGGGCACTGCATCGATGCCAATTACTATGGCAACGTGACCCGCTTCTTCAATCACTCCTGCGAGCCCAATGTGCTGGCCGTGCGCGTCTTTTACGAGCATCAGGACTATCGCTTCCCCAAGATTGCCTTCTTCGCGTGCCGCGACATCGATGCCGGCGAAGAAATCTGGTGAGATAATTGTTCTCTCTCTCTGTCTCTGTCTCTGAGAACGCTCTAAGTTTTGTTTTTTCTGTCTAAACAGCTACGACTACGGTGAGAAGTTTTGGCGGACAGAGCATCGCTCCACACTGGGATGCAAGTGCCTGACTGAGTCCTGCAAGTATGCCAGTCAATGCACCAGCACAAATGCCTCGCCCACAGAGGCGACAACTGCAGAGGCAGCAGCTGCGGAGTCAGCCGAACCAGATGCGGTTTAGACTTGGCAACTCATCAACATGCACACCCACCAAGCCAGACATTGGACAGACATCACAAGCAGCTCCAAGCAGCAGCCACAACAAGAGATCCGCCATATACATTCATCTATAATTATAGATCCAGCAGTGACCAGTGCCGCTCACTGATATAGATGCTATATGTACATACATATATATATGTAGAAACCATTACCATTACCAATCGCATCATGAATCGAAATGAGAGGCACCCCGAACCAGCGAACCAGCGTAGTCATTTCGCGGGTGCCTCTTCGACTGCCAAATGTTTCATGATGAACGCATTTTAATCATTCTTTTTTTTTTGTACATGTAAAATGTTTGTTAATTATTATTTTTGTTTGTTTTCATTATTATTGCATGTTTTCGAGGCGGTAACTAAACCGTTAAGTGCTGCAATCGCTGCAGCCTGGCCCAGCCCCTAAGTCCATTTTTTCCATTTGCTGTGTGTGCGCGTTGCTAGTTTTAGGGACTGGAGTGTATCGAAGCGCATCTAGTCATAAGAAAGAGGGAGAGCAAGAGAGATTGTATACTCAACAGTTACAGTGCGTTTCATATAGCTAATCATTAGTATAAATCCAAGACCCCCCACCCAAGACGTACAGCTGTGAACCGCATTTTACGTACTCGCGATAGACACACTTACACACACACACCCACACGTGAATGTAACAATAATAATAATCAGAAAAACAGCTAAAGCGGGAATCCCATGAGAGAAGAAAAATTTTTTTTATTTAAGATATGAAAATTTGCATTGCAACAAGAGAAGAAATATATATGTATGTATGTGTACGTGTACGTGTAGCCGATAAGCAGAATGAATCAAAATAAAGTAAAAAAAAGTAACTTTATACCATATACATACATATATACCAACATATTACATATATGTATGCATGTACATACATATATTGCAGTCTATACATACATACATAGCAGGTTAAAGTACTGATAGTCGTTAACAGAAGAAGAAAACAAAAAGAAATACACAAGTGATGATTGTATTTAGCCATACTCGCGCACACACACACATTAACAGATTCGATCTGGGTTAACTGGTTTCGTGAGCGAGATACTCCCCCCCCCCCCCCCCCCCCCCCCCCCCCCCACCCCCCACAAAAAAAAAAAACCACAAATACAATTTTATTTATTTTTTTTTTTTTTTTATTTATATTTATCTTTAAA